GCCCGTATAGAATAAGTAGTACTATCGGTAGACTTGTCCAGATGCCAAAGACCACCATTATGCCAAACCACCATTGATATCCAACACACTATCCATTGTCAAGCAAACATATCGAAACTATCATCCTCCACAGCTGTTGAGGGTATAGGGACGATAGCAGATGTAGCATTAGCCTTCGCTCGCTTTAGCATTACCTAATAGACCATCATTACCACAAGAGTCACCCCAGCTTCACTACATCCAATGATTTAGTATCATGCCAATCAAATTGCACGCATATACAAGTTAGGTTATCCTCCGAACCTTGGCTATACCTGCATACCCCGATACTAGTGTGGTGGTAGTGATACTAACTTCTTACGCATTTCGTATGACAACTTTAGCTGCACCCTCTGGGCCCTCTGCCTTCAGTCTCTCTGCTGCTAATGCTATAGCCTGGTCATTAGTCATAGTCTTCTCAAATATACCATCACTCGTCAAGAGGACAAAGCAATCCTTCTGATCCAATGGTAGTATCTACTCGATTACTGATATCCACCTGTGAGGTCGTATTGCTCACTTGAACATCTGGATCGGGGATTGATAAAGCATGAGGGCGTTTGAAAAAGTAGTCCCCAATGCTACGGGTCATAGCCAAGCCCTGCATGACCCTCTTAGTTTTAGAGGTGCCTATATATCCATAATCATCAGAGAATACACTACGTAGTAAACACTAATTATTACACACTCTAGCAACTCCCTGGACCAGCATTATCTGCCCCCCAGCCTTCTCTACCCTTGACTTCTCGATAGGATCGTCTGGGTTATGATCCCGAGTGAGGACTATAGCTCTACCATCGCGGCACAGGACGGCCTGCTGGAGTTGATCGGATGAACACTGCTAGTAAGCTATTATTACCCTACTATCACCAACAGATGCGATTATCATCCTCGGTGGTGTAGAATACTGAGCGGTTGAGCAGGCTTACTCACTAGACAGCGATGGCAACTTTACATTGACTATGAATATAGTAGCAGTAGATCCCTGGGGCTGTAATTGGGGTTTCCGTTCACAACTATCCAAGATGTCTTTATCGACCTGTTGGAAAGCTGCAGTGATCGCCGCTGCGATATCGACCGATGGTGAGGTAGGCTGTAGCTGCGCAGCTTTGAACCTATACCCCGTAGTGATACACGCGATGACGATGATGGTGTTATGATCACTGGAATAGCAACTTCCTAGGCATTTCCTTTACCAATATATCAGCAACACTCGAGCCGCCATGACCATCGAATACACCATAGAGCATACCTAGAGGAATTATCATCATCACCAAGCAGAGAGCAGTAGATGATATCACCAAATGCATCCAGACTAGCACCAACGATGGTCCTATCTTGGAGAGTCTTCTTCAGGCCAGGCCAACTCTCACCATGAGATAAGAGGCTATTGGACAGTTTAGCAGCCTTGGAATCATTAGGGTCGGAGCAATGCTCCGGATCGTGTATCGGAAGAATCTATCTCACTTGTCGTTCGTATACATAGTAAGGCTGACGTTACACTATCAACATCAGTAGGATCAGAGAGCATGCTGACATCTACTGCTTGGTCTCGCGTCTTGGTAGAGCTGGCCGCTGCTGCTGATTCCCTCTCCGACGACACCAAATACCTCATAGTAATCCGAAGATAGATCATGAACTCCGCCCCCATGGGTGGCTACTACCTCACAGGTGCGCCTGGGTCCAAGTTAAGGGGTTTGTCTAGAGTACTACCAGCAATGCCTTTACGATGAACAAAGAGTACCTAATAAGTACTCCCCAATGCTTAGACCCCTAGCAGCGGCGGGGAAGACGCATGAGCCAGGATTGTAGTCTCGGTAGTAATGGTCATTGGGAGCCGATGATGATGGTCCAAGATTGCCGCATATATTATCATCAGAACACACCTCATCGTCCTCAAAGTGGTGCTTCTGTGATGGTGATGGAGAGTCTTCATAGCTTCGGTATATGAAGCCGAACCCACGTGCTTGGTCGAACTTAGCAACTCTACCGATCTTGTAACTGAACCGAGGCAGCATACTCCAGATGCACTCCTCATTCAATACACCTACTCTCTTAGTGATGCCGTCTTCCGAACAGCTGCTGTAGGAGAACTAGTATCATCATTTACTACATCGTTGGTAACAGCATTCTCACTCATTGATGACCTCTCCTCCAGGGATTTCTGAGGACACCACTGAGCTCACTAGGTCTCCCCCCAGCCGTTACCTTCATCCCTGATGCTAGCTTCTGCGCCTCTTCCCAATCCACAAAGTCTGGATCGACTTTAGATGACGTCTTAGCCTCTTCCAGTGCTGATGGAGGCCACCATGTGAACTTCTCTCACCTTATATTAATACTACATTTAGCCCTCTCTCGTTCACACCTCTGCATCTCCTCAAATAAAGGATCAGCCTTATCCCGTATGAGACGGCACCGCCCAGTACTCAAAGATATATGATAATACCTTGAGAGGGTGCTCTTGATGCTGTTGTTGTTAGCATCCTTACTGGTTATCATCTCCATTGAAGTACATGTTAGTATCTTGATGCCAACGCCAATGGCCACCCTTATGCATCCACCAACCACTAGATGCACTAATCCTTTCATATTCATTCGACTTGGTGGG